GTTAGGCTTCCACTCCACCAGCTCACACGGGGTGGTGGGTGCCGTTCAGTCGTCGAGTGTTCATATTGCTATTGCAGGCTGCCTTGACACTGACCATGGTTGCGTCCGCCAGAGATTGGGCATCATCGGGTATGCCCTCATCATCCAATCGGGTCAGCCCTGACCCCAGCGTTTCTGTAGGCAATTGGTAGGCAATTGGTGATGGCTGCACGTTTCTTGGCTTAGGGGGGACACCAATGCTGCAGATGATAGCTTGGTGGTCGCTCCCCGTGTACATGTCACTAACCATCCATTGCGTAGCACCTTACGAAAGTGAGGTCAATGAAGGACTTCATGCCGCCTTTGCAGTAAGTTGCCTTCGTGCCTGAGTTCAGGAGTATGATGTCAAGAGACGCAAAGGCCTCCAGCAGGGTGCGACCTCTTGCATTTGTCAGCAATGAGGACTGGGCTTCGATGCCTTGCGTCATTCGATAGATCTTCCACGACTGTGGCGAACTCAGCCAGCTTTAAGCTTGGTGGGAGATAGCAGCTATATACCCATATGGAGTTGATCAGCACTCGACTGAAGTGTGTGAAGGGTTTCACCTCGGCGAAGTTTCTGCCTCTACAGCAGCACCACAGATCAGCTTTCCTTGATGTGGCATCGACCCAGTCACCCACAAGTTGTGAGTGCGCCTGTGAAGCGGCCGGTGTGTACGTCTGGGTGGCGGTGGGTGTGTGCGCCTGTATGGCGGCTGAGGTGTGCGCCTGTGTGGCGGCTGATGTGTGCGCCTGTGTGGCGGCTGATGTGTGCGTCCGTGGAGCGGCCGGTGAATGCGCCTGGGTGGCGGCTTACGAGTGCGCCTGCGAGGCGGCTGATGTGTGCGCCCGTGGGGCGACTTGTGAGTGCGCCTGGGTTGCAGCTTCCGAGTGCGCCTGTACGCACGATTGAATAACGTTAATTACAGTCCAATGAAGACAGTAAAACGCTCAAAAACAATTCTTACTAAGTCAACTTACAAATAACACATTTTCAAGCTACACATATAAAGACGGGCCACGAACATACAATTTGTATTTAGTACATACCTTATTTTAAGGGATACAAAAGTTATTTATATTAATATACTTAAATATATCACTTCTTTTGATAATTTAATAGGGTTACCTGACACCATATGTTAAAGTTACATATTTTTTTATCTGTCTAGGGTGTTTAAAAATTAAAAATAAATTTAAGATACAAAAAAAAAAAAAAGAAAAATTTACTTTATGCCAAAAAAAACACGAAAAAAACCATAGCGTAATGGAGGACTAAATCCGTCTACTTGTTTTCAAATGTAAGTGCGAAAAATCTGGATAATAACATAAATACTTTAATTTGATCATTAAAAATTTTAAGAAACAAAATCGTAGGAACTAAGCCTGGAGGCTAGTATATATTTTTTTCTTTGGATACAAAATACTTTTACACATTATTCAACAATAACTATGTGCCCTTGCACAATAAAATTTTTTAAATTTTGAATACTACTCTACTAATTAGCGAATGAACAATTGACCATTTTGATTTAATTAACTCATGGGAAAGATGTTCCCATAAGTCAAGATGCAAACATAATACATCTCCAGAATGCTTTAAGAGCTTTTACGGTCCAATTTCAGGAGCAGAATTTGTTTTAAGTCTTCGGGATCTGCCAAACGCCTTACAAGAAATGGAAAGCAACAAAAAAAAACCCGAATTTGCTACCCGGTACAGAGCTCTCGTATTAAAAATTTTAAATCATTTAAGATTTAATCGAGCTCGTGAAAAATATTAAAAAATAATAACTTTGTACAGAAAACTCATTTTTAAAACTATTAAAACTTAAATTATAACTAGAGCTCGGATAGTCATGCAAATGCATGTTGCATGCATATTGTGCATATTTCATTCCTTAGAGTATATTTTGATTGATATTTTTTCATTCATAAAAACTGATAATAATTTAGCTGTGCCATATGAAAATCATTCTGATGCGAATAACAATAAAAAACTTAATACATTCTATAACAAATCTATCTAATTGTGTATAAGATTATTGTGTTGAATTGAAAGTAAATTGACTTTCACGTTGTTTATTTTCATCAAATGATCAACACTAGGTACATTGATAACTTATTAATGGATTCTCAATGACTAATCATAATAAACGCTTTATTATATTCATAAATTATCATTCGTCTCGTGGCATTCAAAGTTATCGGTTGTTTCAAATCAAATTTATATTGCGTATGAAAGTCGAATTCCCCAAAGTATTTCGGACTGATGGGTCAGTTTTATTTTGTACGTATTGTGAATGTGCAGTTCAATGAAAAAAATATTTCAAGTAAATCAGCATATTGCATCATTAAAACATAAAGCTGCCAAAGATAGAAGGAAGGAAAATGCCGATCACGGAAGCCAATCGTTTAAATCGGATCTTGAACCAAAACCACACCAAATTTGTCGAAGTTCAATGTAAATCTGTGCAAAACTTTAGCTTTTAAATACATATTGTTTCCAACATATTATGACTATTTTTTGCATGATTCTTTCATTTTTTATTGTATTTTTGAATGCATATTCTTGAGCATATTTTGCTATTTTTCGTGCATATGTGCATGCATATTTTAGCCTTTTTTCGTGCATAACTATCCGAGTTCTAATTATACTTATGAAAATAATGATTTTTATAAATATAATAAATATTAAATAATATTATTTATTGTTATATAATATTTGTTATTTATTTTATAATAAGCAATATTATTTATTATATTTATAAAAATAGTTATTTTAGTAGTTATAATTTATAATTATTATTATATCAAATTATAATTATAATTATAATAAATTATATTACATATTTAATATTATATAATATTTATTTTTTATTTTATAACTATTATCAAAATGACATTTAAAATAGCATCATAATAATAATCCGCCCTCCAATGTTTCCACCCCACCTAGTTATAACTGTCAAAAAAAAAAAAACGGAATCAATAGAAGTGGATCCCAGTAGCAAAATCAAAAAAAAAAATGTTAACCCACATAGGTTAATATAATCTCCCCCCATATAGAAATAACAACAAGAAAGGAAACTAGCTTCGCAAGACGAAGAGATTTTTTCAATCTCTCGTATGGAAGCTATCCGATATACTCTTCCGATCTGGCCTGTTCCGACTTATGTACTGCTTACAATAACAACAATACACAACTTTTGGTAAAGTTTCAGCACGATAGCTTTTAAACTGAAAGACTAGTTTAAGGGGACGTTCTCTTTGTTTTGGATCAAAAAATCGATTTATTTTTTTTTGCAAAAATTGAAAGCCACATATCCGTAGAATATGTGTGTGAAAGGATTTTTTGGTACGATGAATAGTTTGACAATGAGAGCGTCTCGAATACACCTGCGTCACGCGCGCTGTGGTATGCTCTAAAAACTTTAAACGCGTTTTTCTCGAACCCATGTTTTTCAACAAAATTACCCGTCCACAGCTTCATCCTGTGAACCGATTTGCTTCATGTAAAATTTTTATGAAAGTAGATGCTTTTCTTTAGGGCACTAACCTACTCCGGAAAAAAACAATAATTTATTTATAATTTTTCAACGTGGTTTAACTGAAAAAAAATGTACGAAAATCGAACTTTAAAATTCGAACGTTCATTACGCGGTCAATTTATGGCCGCAATTTGATGCCACTAGGTTAGTGCCTCGCACAAGTATATTAACTTTACATAATGGTAACAATTTTCTATTTCTGTTGACTACAAGAGGCTGCAGGCTCGTAATTTTGGGACGATGTTTGCCGCGCGGAGCCAGACGAAAGCCGCCATTTTGCAGCCGCCATTTTGAATTTCACCATCAAATAAATTTTAAAAAAATCTTGAATAATAAACAAATTCAAAAAGCAAAACCCGAAGTTCGCACGCCTTTTCATTATCCCACAAAAAATTGACGAACTTTGCCTTCATTTCGACCAAAACAAAGAGAACGTCCCCTTAAAAAAAAACGGGCAGACGGTCCACGGACAGACGTATTTCCATTCAGATCGTGATGCTGATCAAGAATATATATACCTTATGGGGTCTGAGGTGTCTTTTTCGATGCGTGAATTATGTGTGCGTTACGCGCACATGTGAGTAAGAATTGAAGTTTCATCTTTCTAGTAAAAAAAATTGAGTTTAGTTGTGTTTACGGCCTTCTCTGAATATCCTAATTCAAAAAATTACTTTCACATTGTAAAATCTTGTAAAATCCTGTCGGGTTCGGATTTTTCATCGAAGTCATCGCGAAGAAACTTTATATGCACTCTTTCTAAGAATAATAGCGCATAGACGACTCTTTGAAGTGAAACTTCTTTAGGCGCATTATGGATTTTCAGGGACGGAGTAAAACCGATTCATGACCGTCACGAAAAAGCGAGGATCGCCATCCCTCTCTAACCGCTGACGAACGATCTCTCTATCCTCTTCTATCCTCTCTCGCTAAGAATCTTAAAAAAGAATGCGGTTTCGTGTGTGAGAACAAGCAAGTGCGTCTGTATGCTTACTTGATCGAGAAGACGATTTTTAAGCCGAAATCATTTCTGTGCCAAAACGAGATTTACGAGGTAATGTTCTAAAAAAATCGGACATATTGATGGTTTCCGAAACTTGACTTGACGATGACAGGCATGTTAATGTTACAAATTTTGATTGCATTGTACAACACAAGAGACCCAATGTTAGAGCGGTCGGTGTATGTATATATAAAAATGTAAATATGTAGACTCCAACATGTTGTGGTAAAAAACAATGACGTTCATGCCCGTAACCATCAATTCGTGTAGTTGTTGCACGCAGCAGTGGCGCCGGAGGGTTTCAAAAGCGGGTGGTGAGTTGTTCAAACCAAGGTAGTGAGGAGTGAGGGTGCCTTCTAGAAATCGATACTTCAAAATAAGACAATTTATTATTATCCTTTACAAAAATCGTATTAACATCTCTTTTCTTATTTTTTTTCAATTTAAATTTCGTCGATCATTCAAATTTAGGAACAATCTTTTGACAAAGCGAAAACGTTTGTTCTTTTTGCGTTTTTAACGATGAATTCATCCATAATTTTCTCCAAATCCATTTTTTCCGCTCGCTCATGATAAATATGTAAAATTGCAACATTGTTTAATCGTTTCTGACCAATAGTAGAGCGCAAATATGTCTTCAGTCTTTTCAAAGTCGAAAAACTTCTCTCGTTCGAACAAGAAGATGCTGGTATTGTTAATAACAACTTCACGAATCGAATGAATTCTGGGACAAGGCTTGTACACCATGTATTTTCTTGCAAAAAAACCACGATTTCCCCAAGATTCTTAAGTCGTACTGCCTTTCTGCTTGCCAAATCTAAGAAAGCATTTCTATCACTGACTAAAGCATCTCTTTGGAAATCATTTTGATAAAATGTGATGATTTTATCGATTCGAGTATCGTCGCCCAGCACAAACGCTTCAAGATCCCGAAAAAACTTGGCCGAATCTGTTCCGAACCTAGTTTTCAAAGAAGAGAGAACTTGATCGTACACTTCGTAATACACTTTTCTGTACATATCTTTTGGATTCGAAAAAACATGGTTTTCAGCACTTGAATTTTCATCTAAACGCTTAGGAACTCTTTTTCGTCGCGGCAATTCAACTCTTTGATGTCAAATTTCTTAACACTTTCGTTTGCTTCATTCCAAATTTTTTCAAATTTTTCGTCGCGAGATAATTGCAAAGAGTACGATACAGCATCGACTTTTTCGAAAGAATCAAAGGAGCTCAATTGAGAATTTTGTAACGCTGCGTTCAAATTTTCAATCTTTTGGAAAATCTCAATGATCATCGTCAACATGAACATGAATTCGAAAGTTTCCATATGTTTCAAAAAGCCACTTGCTTTGGCCGAGGCAGAAGCATCTGTTGATGAACTCGATGCTTGTTCTTCGAAAAATGTCATCAGTGTCCCATACTGAGCCGCAACAACCCTCAGAGGACGAATTCTCATCGTCCACCTGCAGCAAAACGTTAATAAGTTCAAACAATCGAAAATTTCTCTAAAAAATGGTATGCCGATTGACTAAAAAAATTTTACCTAGTTGAACAGTAGGCGACAAGAGCAACGATTTTTTTTAGGATCATTCTCAATTTCATCTTCTTGGATTTTTCGGAACAAAGAACATCGTTTTGGTGAATCTCTCACATAGTTGATTATTTCTTTAACAAGGCCCATGAAATTCCTCGCTGAGATTACTTTGTCCAGTGCATCCTGTACAACTAGGTTGAGGTTATGAGCGTTGCAATGGACGAAAATCTCCCTTGGTTCGATTTCACGTACTCGACTCTGCAATCCAGTCACCCCGCCAGCAACGTTCGCAGCACCATCAAAGCATTGGCCTCTGCACTTGTTAATTGGTATTCCAAATCGAGTGGAAATCAGATTATCGGACGTCACTCTGATGCAAACAGAAATTTGTTCAGTGTTGGAAATGTCAGGAGTTTCATCAATTTGGAAAGCATAAAATTCAGCATGCTTTATTTCCTCGACAAGCTCTGATAGAATTTTCGTTGCCATCATTTCCAGAATTTCATTCTGTATATCACTGTGAAGCCACTTATTTCCGGGCCGTTGTAACCACGATCCCAGATCTGGAATGTCTTTTCTTCGCGCTTTCAAAAATCTTATGAAATTAGAATTCTCATCATCGTGGCCACGGAGCGGTAAACCTTGTTGGGATATAACTTTGATCGTACAGAAGATTTTGCGAAGTGCCATGCGGTGGTCCATCATTTTTTTTCTTGTGGCGGTGGATAAGTGTTGAACCACACTAGTTTTGTTTTGACTGTAGAGCGCCTCGTAGTTTTGGACGTGAAATGAACTCGTAGAGTGATTCTTCCTGCTGCATTATTCCACGATGCAAAACCATTTTGAACCCAAGCCAAACGAGATTGTTTATTGTGTAAGTCATCAACAGCCGATAGATTTTTGTTGCAAGCCTCGGTACAAATAATGCAAATTGGCTTGTTATCATGATTGAGATCCAACCATGGGTTGTCTTCTTTCCATTTCTTCCATGCTAAGACGGGTGGCCCGAGCTCTGAAAATATTTTCATGAAATTTAATATGAAACTCAATTTTTTTTTTGTATTAAATAATCATTCAGAAGGTCTAAAAAAATTTTGCACGCCGTATTTTTTAATATTTTTTGAGTTATGCTGAATTTGACTCGACCAGTCGGTTGTTTTCGTTGGTTGCACTCGTTTTGACTCGCGCCGTTATGGCGCCGACGCGCTGACACTTAAAACGCGTAACGTATTTTTGACCCAAAAAATCTGAATTGCGGCATTTGAGACGGCCAAAATACCAAATTTTGGTGTCCTCTTCAAGAAAAACAAAGCTCATTTGAACCAGGCAAGCAAATAATATGAAATACCTTTGCTTTCATTTTCACTCGAGGTTAAGATGATCTTCGACTGCGGCCGTGAATTCTGTATTTCTTCGTTGGCGTTTTTTTCACCGCCGTTCGGTTCTTCTTTTTCTTCGCTTTCTTCTCTTTTTCGTTTAAGTCTGACAACGAACTTATCCATGATTTGTGATTGAGATGATGCACTGCGCGTTCATCACAAATCACAGATGTCATAAAGTTCATGGAATATAATGGTTGGGGACTTTGCGTTCGGAACGCTAGAGGATAGCAGACGATAGAGTTGCCAACACTACAAGAGCATAAGGCACAGTGCGAGAGAGAAAAAAAAGTTACTCTTTTTTATCATTATGGCAGCAGTAGTTACTAGCTATTCCGCACTTTTCCGGGTGGCGTTTTCGGGCATTGCGGTAAAAGCGCCAGAAATTTCCCGTGGTGAATTCCCCATGGGGAATTTCTACGCATGTTGAGCAATCAACACACACAACAGGTCTTCCGGCGCCCCTGGCACGCAGTATATATGTAAGTCGAAACGAGCCGGATCGGCCGACTATATCGGATAGCTCCAATACTAGAGAATGAAATAAAAAGTTCTCATACAGCTTTTTTTGATCAGATCGACTTGATTTCTTCCAGATGGTGTTTATTAACTACTGTAGAATTTCGGATAAAATTTTATAAAAATCGGATAACTCTATTATAAAGCTGCCATAGAAGAGACTAGTTGAAATAGAAACAGACAGACGGACAGACGTACAGACGGATTCACAGACCGATTCAGATCGTGATGCTGATCAAGAATATATATATACTTTATGGGGTCTGAGGTGTCTCCTTCACTGCGTTGCAAACTTCTGACTCAAATTATATTACCCTTTGCTCTGCAAAGGTATAAAAATTAAAGTCTTTGTTTTAATCCCACGAGCATGATTTTTGAAACATCAAGTTTTTAAAACACTCTTAAATTGGGAAAAAATTTCATAAGAATCGGAGTACTATATCATATAGCTGCCATAGGAAAGATCGAAAAATCTATATAGATATAACGGAAATGAAATGAAAACATCGTTATATATGTATATAATATATGTCGGAAATAGATTCGAGGAATCACAGAATTTATGCTAAAGGCATAGTAGCAGAGACGGTAGCAGTCTCTACTGGCGAGTTGTCGGGTCGCAATTCGGGGAAGAATAAGGATTCTTGCGAAAGGCATAGCAGCAGAGACGCTGTCAGTCTCTGCTGGTGAGTTGACGAGATGATAATTCGGGGAAGTACAAGAATTTACGCGTAAAGCATATCAGCAGAGACACTGGCGGTCTCTGCTGAGGAGTGAGGTCCGTTGACGGGTTACCAAAGGTACTGAGATAGAAGGAGATGACAAGATATGTAGGCTGACAATATATAAGACGAGGATCGATGAGATCGAGGCAATCTAGTTTTGGTAACGAAAGTGAGCGGAACTCGCTGTGCTGGCGCATCAGTAGTAAAAGTTTAGTGAATGTGGAAGAAAGAACCTTGTTTCCGACATCAGAAGTGGGATCGCCTTCGCCACAAGAGCACAGCACCGCTCAATATATGGCAGCGTTGGAGGAGCAAAACAAAAACCTCTTGGAAATCATTAGAACCATGCAGGCGCCAAGAGCCCCGGCAGCAGACGGGAGGACCAAGCAAGTGGCACTGCCCAAGTTTAATCCGGATGGCGCTGGAGCAGATGCATCAGCATGGTGCACCACGGTCGACTTAATCTTCGCAGATCATGTACTGGAAGGCAGTGCCCTGGTAATAGCGATAAGCAGAGCGCTGGAGGGCAGTGCTTCGCAATGGCTGTCCCAGGTATGCTTTGCTGGCATCACCTGGACGCAATTCAAGGAATTGTTCATCCAGCGATTCGTGGGTATTGAGACAACGGCGGCCGTATTGATCAATATCTTAAACGGGCATCCCAAAGCTGGAGAAAGCTTTGCCGAGTATGGAAGTCGCATAGTGACGCTATTACTATCCAAGTGGAAATCCACGGAGTTGGAAGAGATTGCGGTGTCAATAGCGTTAGCCCACATGGCGCAGATCGACAATAATTTGCTGCGTTGGGTTTTCACAACCAATGTGACGACGCGAAATGAACTACAGCGGCAGCTACAGGTCTACGCCTTCAAAAAACGTAAAAACGAAGAGGATGAATGTTCGTCAAGCTCGGATAAGAAGAAATTACGAATGCAGTCGCAGGCAGATTGCCATTATTGTGGGAAAATTGGCCACAAATACGCCCAATGCCGCGCTCGATTGGAGAGCTCATCCTACACCATGGAGAGAAAGGACAGTGAAAGCAGCTCGTCCGGAGTAAAGGATCGTCCAAAAATTAAATGCTACAAGTGTGGTGAGCTAGGACATATTGCTCCTGTATGCCCTAAAGGTAGTACTAGTGGAAACGAGAAATAAAAGGAGAAGCGCGTAGAAATATGTTAGCCTAAAAGCTAACTCTATCAATTGGGTGAGTTCGTTCCATGTTTTTGACTCGGGCGCCGAGTGTTCTTTAATGAAAGGAAAGTTATTAAATAAGATTGCTGGAAAATAATTAATAGTTAAGTTGTATTAAGAGAAATTGGCGACAATATTATTAAGAGCCATTTGCAAATTGTGTTCACAGTTGAAATATAGAACTTTAATTTAGAAATTTTGATCCATGTTGTATTGGAAAATTATTTAAAAGGGTAATTAGCGAATTAACAGAAGAATGTCTAAGTGACGATGAACCCTGAGATGGGGAAGAGCCTATAGATGGCACAAGAGAATGTGCGTCTGTGTTCCTTAGATGGGAAAGAGCATGGAGACGGCACTAGTGAATGTGCGTCTGTGTCCCAAGAGGGGAAATGTTGACCGCAGTGTATGGCGGAGGTCTTGGTGACCTGGTGCATGGATTTGCACGGAAATGTTGACCGCAGTGTATGGCGGAGGTCTTGGTGACCTGGTGCATGGATTTGCACGGAAATATTGGCCGGAGTATAGCAGCTGTCTCGCAGGGTCGAACAGTGTTATGGCAAAGGTCTTGGTGACCTGGTGCATATGGTTGCACGGTTATGATGATTGAAATTGATTGATAAAATCTAAGTTATGTAAACGAGGAAATTAATGAAAGCGACTTATTTAGTTTGTAACTGAATAAGAGAATTCACTGAATAAGTTTGATTAGTTTGGCAAATCTAGAAATTCAACACACAGGGACGTGTGATAGGTCAGGATTGGCCGTGTCGGAAATTGATTCGAGGAATCACAGAATTTATGCTAAAGGCATAGTAGCAGAGACGGTAGCAGTCTCTACTGGCGAGTTGTCGGGTCGCAATTCGGGGAAGAATAAGGATTCTTGCGAAAGGCATAGCAGCAGAGACGCTGTCAGTCTCTGCTGGTGAGTTGACGAGATTATAATTCGGGGAAGGAGTGAGGAGTGAGGTCCGTTGACGGGTTACCAAAGGTACTGAGATAGAAGGAGATGACAAGATATGTAGGCTGACAATATATAAGACGAGGATCGATGAGATCGAGGCAATCTAGTTTTGGTAACGAAAGTGAGCGGAACTCGCTGTGCTGGCGCATCAGTAGTAAAAGTTTAGTGAATGTGGAAGAAAGAACCTTGTTTCCGACATATATATATATCGAGTTTTCTAATGATTCTTGAGTTTCACATTAAATTTTATCAAAATCGGACGTCTATTTCATTTAGCTGTCATATAAACAATATGGAAAATTAATAGAAAAATCGTCATAGCTTCGATGTTTTGTAGCCTTTATGTATTTTGTTTATCATATTTAATGACTGCAAGGGTATATAAGCTCCGGCTTGCTGAAGCTAGTTTCCTTTCTTGTTATAATATTGTTATTTATGTAATATTGTAAACTTGTAAATAAATTTAACATTTTTGAAACTATACATTAAGCGATCGTCATTCATCTATAAGAAAATATTAGATACAAAAATCCATGCTTCGTCCTTGAATTATTTAACCTCTAATTTTCAAACTAACCTAAAACAGAAAATAAGAGATAATGAAAGGATAAGAGAGAGAGAGGAATACTAGAAGTTTCACTTCTGTCGTGCGTAGGCCGGACACACCCCTT